GTCGAAAAAAAAAAAACTTGAAGTTGTTATCTTCAGATTTAGGTGCCGTGTTCCCCCATTAAATCTTTATCATTAGACAAAGCTGGTCTGACACTCTCCCCTATTCGTTCGTTCTGCGAAGAATCAGAAACTATTGAACATTATTTTGTTTCATGTCGTAACTACGCAGTATATAAGAAAAGACTTCTAGCTATTCCGTTCGTGAAGCGAGGTTTAAAATTAATCACTGAAAATGCTCTAAATTTTAGTGCCTCCGTTTTGGGAATTTCCTACAGAGACGTATGCGATGCGGTATGTAATTTATTTCAAGACTAAACGTATTTCAACACAAGGCACACTTTAACAAATACTCACAAAGAAAAGTGGGTTGGGAAGAAAATTTTGAAATGTGGATAAGTCTGAGAGAAACATCTTAAAATAATCGGGTTTGGCAAACTCAAATGTCTGGTCGGCTCCCAAAATAACGGTATAGGTATTATATTAGGGATTACTTTCTTGTTGTTTTTTCCTCACTCTCTGAAAGTGTTTTTTTAATATACTGTCTTTCTTCTATATCTGTTTTTTTTCTTTTTTTTGCAAGAAGTAGTACAGTTATTGTCGATACAATACTATATTTTTTCTTGGCCAATCCTTCAGAGTTGGTATCTGTCATGAATTCCGGGCTACAAATGAACAAACAAAAACAGCACAACGTTACGATGCAGACAAATTGTTCTGTAGATGACTTCCATCCCATGATTATCATTTTTGCGCCTGACGTTCGTGCTTGTCGTCCATTGACGTCACATAATAGCAAAGTTGGTATATTTCAAGCTAGCGAAACAGCCATGAGCGTACCATGAAGTCATGTTTTACATGACACATGTGTCATAATTATCATGTTTCAACGTGTCATTTACCTTGGTAATCTATTCACGTCACGTGATACCACATTTTGGTACACGTTAAGCTAGCGAAACGGCCACGAGCGAATCGTGAGCGTGATGTGTATTCATATTTTCATTTGACACACTAATCATAACTATCATGTTTGCACTCTTCATATACCTTTGTCATCTACTCACGCCACGTAACGCCAAATTTGGTATGTGGGAAGCTAGCGAAATGGTCGCGAAGGCACAATGAGCGTAGCATGCAGTCACGTTTTACATGACAAGAATGTCATGATTATCGTGTTGGACGGGCCATTTACCTTGGACGTCCATTGGCATCACTTAATACCAAATTTGGTATATGTGAAGCTAGCAAAACGGCTGAGTGCGCATCATGAGCATGCCAAGTTGTCATGTTCTTACATTACACGCATGTCATATTATAATGTTTGCATCAGTCACATAGCTTCGTCATCTCTTACGTGGCGTAATACCAAATTTGGTATATATTAAGCTAGCGAAATGGCCATGAGCACACTATAAGCGTAGCATGCATAAGCTCAACATATAAGCGTAGCATAAGCTCAACAACAACCTGAGTGACCTTGGGAAACAGTATCCGCAAGCAGAGATACTGCTTTTCGGCGATTTTAATTTCCCTCAAATAGATTGGAGTAGTAGCGTCCCGTCAGCTGTGGGCAGTGAGCCCGCAAAGGACTTCATAGATTTCTGCCTGAATTGCAATCTAACCCAACTTGTATCCCAACCAACGCGCGTTACAGAGAGCAATTCCAGCATCTTAGATCTAATACTAACTAGTCATCAAGAGAGCTTATCATCAATTACATATCTGCGTGCCGTCATTGACCACAAGGTAATCCATGCGGCCTTTGCGTTTCGACCTATAAAACGCGATCTTGTCACCAAAACAATCCGTCTTTACGACAAGGGCAATTATAGTGCTATCAATAATGAATTGATATCTTTTCTTCCTGATTTCGAGAGAATAAGCCATACACGCTCTGTGGATGAGAATTGGATTATATTTAGAGATAAGTTAGCCACTCTTGTCGAGAAATTTATCCCAAAAAATAACGTTTACCGCAAACCGAAACAAGCCATGGTTTTCACGTACACTTCACAAACTAAGAAACAAGAAAAAACGCCTCTTCCGATCAGCCAAACAGTCTAAACTTCTGTCCTTATGGGAAAAATATTACGCCGCGGAAGATGATTATCTTAGAACCATTCGAAACGCCAAGCACGTGTTCTTTCATGAAGAGCTGCCCAAAATGCTTGCAACCAGCCCTCGCAAATTCTGGGAGGTGATAAACCCTCAGGAGATGCGCACCACTAGTCTTTCAAATGCGCATGGCGATATAGTCGACAACAATGAATGCGCGAACCTTTTTAACGAGGCCTTTTTCTCTGTTTTTACGAATGAGAGTTCAGTTCCCGATTTTTCTTCACCTGCGCGCAGCACCGAGTCTATGCCCCCGATTGCATTTTCTACGGACGGCATCATTTCGATTATAGAAAAGATTAAGCTTTCTTCTTCTGCAGGTGTGGATGACATTAATTCAAAACTTCTCATAAATGTTAAACATGTGTGTGCCGCATACCTTACATTGTTATTTTCGCAGTCATTATCATCAAGCATTCTGCCAGCAGACTGGAAAGTAGGCAAGGTCGTTCCAGTCTACAAATCAGGTAACAGAGATTCTCCACTAAATTACCGTCCCATATCCTTAACAAGTATCCCCTGCAAAATCATGGAACATGTCATCTACTCCCATATCATCAACTTCTTGGACTCAATGCACTTTTTTCATCCTTCTCAACACGGGTTCCGAAGGGGTTATTCTTGTGAAACGCAGCTGGCCATTTTCATTCACGACTTACATTCTAACCTTGACTGCAACATTCAGACCGATGCTCTTTTCCTGGATTTCGCCAAAGCATTTGACACTGTCCCTCACAAGCGCCTAATTCTTAAATTATCTCTGTTAAATCTAGATCCTAATGTACTTGCATGGATAACATCTTTCCTGACTAATCGTTCCCAATTTGTGTTTGTTAATAATCACTCATCTAACCGACTACCTGTAACCTCAGGTGTCCCGCAAGGGTCTGTCTTAGGGCCTCTACTCTTTTTAATTTACATTAACGACCTACCATTGCATGTATCATGTAACTTTCGTATGTTTGCCGATGACTGCGTAATCTACCGATCAGTAACCAACATTCATGACCAAACACTAATTCAGCATGATCTTAACAACATACAAACATGGTGTGATCGTTGGTTAATGAACTTAAATCCTAATAAATGTAAGCTCGTTTCTTTTTCTCGCCACCGTAACCCTTTTGAGTTTACCTATTCCATCACTAATGTTCCCATACAATCAGTTCAATCATTCAAATACCTCGGCATCACTTTGGCTCATGACCTGTCTTGGCGTCATCACACTACTAACATCATCTCGTCTGCTAATAAATCACTCGGGTTTCTCAGACGACACTTACGCCATACTCCGCCTCACGTCAAGACGCTTGCATACAAATCATTTATCAGGTCCAAACTCGAGTATGCATCTTCCATCTGGAGCCCTCATCAATCATACATCATAAGTGAACTCGAATCACTTCAAAATCGGGCTACCAGGTTCATTCATTCTGCATATTCATACGATATCAGCATCTCATCTCTAAAGGCGGAATCAGGTCTAGAAACCCTTGCTTCACGCCGACGGTGTGCCACCCTCTCTCTTTTTCATATGTTTTATTTCAGTTCACTGAATCATCCACCGTACATCACGCCCCCTCCGCACATATCCCATCGCACTGGTCATCCGTTACAAGTCGCATTACCACGTACCCGGACCACTGTATTCCAAGCCTCCTTTTTCGTAAGAGCAGCAAAAGACTGGAATGGCCTTCCTCACGCCACCTGTGCCATCACTAACCCATCTATGTTTGCAGAAGCCATTAAAAACACCGTTGTATAGTTCTCATTTTTTTTTTTTTTGTTATGCACCACCCCTTATGTAATACCCCTACAGGGGGTCTTTAAGGAAATAAAAGTGAAGTGAAGTGAAATGTAGTCATGCTTTACATGACATGCATGTAATGATTATTATATTTCCACCAGTCTCATACCTTCGTGACCCACTCACGTCACGTAATGCCGAATTTGGTATTTGTGAATTTGGTGAAAGGATCGCTACTGCATCATTAGCGTGGCATGCAGTCATGTTCTTGGTGACATGCACGCCAGGGTTATCATGTTCGAACCAGTCTTATAGCTTCTCCAATCATTCACGTCACGTAATGCCAAATTTGGTATATAGGAATCTAGCGAAATGATTACGAGCACATCATGAGCGTGGCACGTGCTAGTCATGTTTTTCATGGCACGCGAGTCATGATTTCCACATGAAAGCCTGTCCCTTATGTTCGCCATAGAGTCATGTCATACCATACCAGTTATGTGATTCGTCAAGTGAACGAAACCACCGCAGGAGCAGCATGACCATGACATTGAAATTATTACATTCATGACATGCATGGCATGATTTTCATTTCATCTTGGAAGCAGTTACTTAAGCTCGTCATACAGTCATGTTATGATATACAACTTTTTGTATATATGCCATTATTTCAACGGCCAGGAGAGCTATGAGCCGTAGGTGGCAGGACAGACAGACAGACAGACAGACAGACAGACAGACAGACAGACAGACAGACAGACAGACAGACAGACAGACAGACAGACAGACAGACAGACAGACAGACAGACAGACTAGATAGATAGATAGATAGATAGATAGATAGATAGATAGATAGATAGATAGATAGATAGATAGATAGATAGATAGATAGATAGATAGATAGATAGATAGATAGATACGGTCAGACTAACCGAGGTTCCCTAAGAAATGATTCGCATTTGATAATAAATATCTATAATATTTTAATATTTTACCATTATTATTTGTGGTTGGTATAACTAGTAAAGAGTAGAATCAGCGGTCCTTCCCTATCGTTCACTGTTGAACAAGTATACCTTCTCATGGCTTTTACACCAGCTTCTTTCAGGAAGATAATTAAAGAAGCATTAAGCCTTGCCTTCATGAGAATATCCATGAACGTGGCAGATATTACGTCACCACCCATCTTGGGATAGTCGTCAAACACTTTCTTTGCCTCTGTCAGCTTCTCGAGATGAAACTCTTGCAGTCGAACAAGACTTCTTCGAGGCCTCTGCACAGATGAAAAACAGTTACACTTCAATCATTTGTACCACAGTGTGTGACATTTTCACTCACTTGTTCCATCGCAGATATATAATGTTTTCTTGCTTGGTCCAAAGCAGCCACATTGGTAGCCTTTGCAGTCGCCTAGAGAGGAATCGAAACAACCTTCTCTGCGAACCAATATAATTATGTGATCATCTGCGCCAATGTCCACAGATTTGCGCAACCAGACATTTCGAGAAATATAAACATGTGTAAAAGAAATCCGGAACAAGTTCTTAAAGAGCACTGCTAAGCGGGCTCAGTGACGTCATGCAGAATGTCGTGAACTTTCTTAAGGCGACTGCTGCAAGTCCGAAAAATTTGCGAGGTATCAATAACTTTTTGCGGTCACTACGATTTTGCAAGAAAGAAAATTGACTGCTGTGCTGTTAGCCATAACTTTGCAGACCAGCGATGTGCCAATTACTCTAAAGCAAAGAGGTGCGCCCGTACAGCGGCAATCCAAATATTTCTCTACCGTTCGCAGCACGATTTTTTTTTCTCCGTCAGCGCCATATGATGAAACGAAGCTGTAAAATATTATTGTGATAGAAACCAGCTGGACAGTCTCGGCTGGTTTTTTACCGTTGGCAAAGCTGCCATCACGCACCGTATATGTATAATATCTGTATATAAAAAAACTAAAGATGAAAAAAAAGTCACAGCATTGCCCAAAAACGAAGCAATGAATGCGATCGCAACAAATTGGAACGTCACGCTCAGAACGGCAAGCAGATCTAAAGATGCCCCGCATTTTTTTTGCACAAATAACGCACAGAACGTGCTCACAGGTTAAGACGAACGCGAATAAGCGTCTCAGTTGTTACTTCACTGTGATCAGACACAGGGAAGTAATTAACTGTGACGCTTGTAAACTACAATTACTATTTTCCTCCCAGCTATGACAATTTTTTTTCTCTGCTGGTGCACAATGCTTCAGAGAACACTGGTGGCGGGACCGTTTACTCTACCAAAGGCGACTGTTGTGAGCTTATGACTCGTTACACTATAGAGCCAGTAAGAAGTATTGTGACACATTTCATAGCTTGTACTTTTATTTGATTGAACTTAAATGCAGAAGGGTGTTTGATTGATTGCAATACAATTCTAAACAAGCTTTAAAACATCTGAGACGCAATGATTCCTATGGCTACTGGTACAGCTGTAAAAATATTTTGTGATAGCTAAAATCTGCCCCATTACACCCACCTCAGTGGGTGAAGAGAGACATGGTTTGGAAGGTTTGAGACATGTTGAGTCGAGTTTAGTTTAGTTTATTTACCACGTACAGTTGTATAGTAAGTGGCTGGGACAGAGGAAAAAAGCATCAGTAATAGAATGATACAAATGTCTTCAGTGATTATTATAAGCCAATGGCTAACATTCAATATAAAACTTTGCTGCATCGAGAGTTCTTGACATTGGGAGCATCATCACAATGCCCGTAATTGGATAGACAATCGTATCTTCTTTAGGAGGGAGTTATAACTTAGTGCACCTTTGTTTTGTTCCGCAGGAACTGCGCAGTGACATTGACATGTTATCAGAGCTACAGACATTCGACCATGTTATGAGCGCCATTTTTTCACGTAAACAGACGATACTAACATTGAATTTCGACACTTCTGTATCTTCAGTAGCTCAGTTGATTTCACTGAGGTCATGCCAGGCAATATCGAAACCTGACATGTCGTTGTCTAATCCGTCACGGCAAGTTTGTCATCTTTACTTGAAAAACAGCAATCTCCAGGAAACGTTATTTTACTTCTTTTTTGGGTGGGATGTAATGGCTGCTCGACTGTGCTGCGCTTCTTTTAACATGAAAGTGCTTTATTCGATCGTCCACTATGACTCCAGTGACGTAGTGCCGCCACGTGTATGGTGCGTGGTAGAATATACAAAACCGGTTGAAAACAACAACTATATCAGCCGCTGGAAACGAAAGCTATGACGCATCGAACGTGACGGCAGGTGCCTGACGCTTCACCTACTGAGATAGCGGGACATTTTTTTTCTTTACTAACTGAGACAGTGGGACACATATCAGGTACTTCAAGAGTGCGCCTCGGATCTCTCGCACATACTTTATCGCAAAATGCTCATCGTCGGCAGGGTAGGGTGAGCTGCAGTGCAAACGAGCTGGGTGATGTCATCATCCGTGTGCGGTACAGTGATGCAACGTGCCCTGACAGATGCTTGTATCGATAGGGAACGTCATTCACGCGCTTAAAAGATAACCTTCGAGATTGTGTGAAATCTGACTCCCTAGAGTGCCTCAAGAACGACTAACAAAACTGCTACAATAAGCTCTGCAGACAGACACCGATGTGAACGGGCGAATGTCGTGGCTTCGTAGAGAGAGACCGAGTCTAAAGGGACGTGCAACACATGCGTACGTTGGTGCCCAAGCTACTGCACGTCGGTCTCCCATGTAGCTGGAGTGCAGGCGCCGGCTACCTATTGTTCGAAAGCGTATACTATGTCCTTTCTTTCTTTAGTTGACGACGTTTTAAAGAAGGGACTATCAAGTGTCAGTGTTTATTATGTGCCTCTTGACGTCATCTTATTGCGACATTCACGATTCGCTGTGTCTGCGTATACGTTAACCATTTGAGCTATCACAATGGTTCAATCGTAGTCATGGACGTTAGTCCTCGCCATGGAGACGTGCCAATAGGCGTCACCGTGAGTGCATTCACGTCAATCTGTGCTACATATGCCCAGCACAAACGTAAATTGTATTATCTCTCATATATCACTGGAAAATAAGCACTAAAACCCATTTCCCTTTCGTTTGAGTGATATCAATTCCTACGACGGAGGGATGAGCTATGTTATTAAGACTGTTGCGCTGACCTCTGTAAGTTCCTGTTCAATCGTATGCCTCCCAACTGTTCTTTTTTGCACTTGGTACCATGGTGTAGAAGTAAGATATTATTGAGACAGTGCCCATTCTTCACTCAGCTTTACTGTCCCATGCCTTTGAAGCTACGTTTTCCAAAGTAAACGACCTTTCATGGCTAAAGTCTTCTCGTAATGCCTTAACTTTAAACAAAACAAGTACAGCGATGAAAAGTGTTTTCGGAACAAAATGGATAGTAGCCGCCGCAAAGGAATTGAACTCTGAGAGCAATACAACTGTGGTAGAGGAAACTTACTTTTGCCACGTGAAAAAGTTACTACGAGCTACACAAAGCTTCGTTCGCCGAAGACGCTCTTCAATGCAATTATGCATTCAGTTTGCCAGCACCATTGAATGAGCTGTCAGCTAACGCCTTTGAAGTAACTGCAGAATGAATATACGCGCTGACTTATTCCTCCAACTGTCCCAAATTTCTCGACATTCCCCTTACATAGCCCAACCCACTCCAAATCTATTCTACATTTTTTTGCTACTAAAATTTCTCTAATACCACAAGATTACTTGTGTTCATTGGTTAAACGGAACAGTGCATCAAACTTTTGTAAAATAGTGCATCAAAGTTATGTACTTAAACCTTATAGTAATAATATACAGATTTTAAATGCTAAGATAAGGATACCGTTATGAAGCACGTCTTAATGAAGGGTTCTGCAAACTTCCAAAACTGATTAAGAATTTTTAGAGAAACAAAGCATGAATTGATAGCGATTCTTTGTGGGTCTTCTCGTCTACCGTCTTTTGCTCCATGTTGTGCTGTTGCTGAATAGATCCTCTGGTATATTTTATCATGCCCTGTCATCAACTAGTACACACCGCTAGAAGCATTTTACCTCCATTCAAACTTTAAAGCCACAGAAAAAACAGAAACAGTGACTTATGCGTCAGCAGGGAAGCACTGAAACGGTATTGCCACCGAAGCGGTGGCGCACTTTTTAAAGGTAGTGCCTCAAATGTGCCTTTACTACAAAGAAACATCTGCTCTTCAATTATATATATTATTCGTTCTACTTGAAAATATTTCAACGTATATAGTGCACTAAGTATAATGATCCCACGCGTGAAATATGAAGCACTATTCATCATAAAATACTTCAACGCTTGATTGACTGAACCGTACAATAGTAGGAAAAAAATTGCACCTTCTCCCCAGGGCTGGGCAGCAGGAATCCTTCAATTTCCGAAAAGCAAGACAAGATGCTTTGCCGCAACGTCCTCAACTCAGCAGCTTGTTCTTCTGTGATGTTCAGACGACTCTCGACGAGTGATCTGCCACCACTGAAGCCAAACTCGTAGTCGTCCGGCCAGTTCCAGTCTCGCACCAGAAACAAGAGCTTCTGGAAAGGCCTTGTTTCATTGCCCTGCAACGGTACGCGTCAGCTGCAGCTGCTGTGAAGAGTACGTTACGTGGGTCTTGTAAATACCTTCTGCGCAAGCCTGCCGTACTCAGCGAAAAATTGAAGGTTCTGTAGATGGTCCTCCTGAATGTTGTTCATTACGTTGTAAATCTGCACAGAGCTGGTCATCATGGAGAGAGAGAATATGGTCATGCTCTCTTTTCGTTGTGGACTTGGAATCGAAGGTCCCTTGGGTGTCCATGAGCAATACCACCACCTCTTCGCCATTCGAGTCGGTCATCTAGAAAAATGGGCGCAATTACTCAACCACCATGTCTACTGTGTAAATGCCTCACCGTGAAAACTTCAGTTCCAAACCATAATGCCCGTTGTCTCGCGCTCACAGCCTGCCCTCCACTTAAAGCCACGTAAAGGGGCGTCTGTGTCCTCCATCCATTTCGATCGATCATTGTTCCTCAGGTACCGCAAAAAGAAGCTTAGCAGAAAGGACTTTCCTTGTCGATATGATCCGGCAATCGATATCACCACGACTGGCTTGTCTTTCACGTCTTCGGCCAAGAGAATGCGCTGGAGATCGCTTTCCATGAATTCGACTCTCTGGCCACCAATAACGCGCAAGATTTGCACGGGCTCTCCACCCATCGTGGAACTCACGGTGCGTGATCTGAAAAAAAAATGCATTTTGGTAACTTTGGTAACGATCATTTCAAAAGTAAACGTTCGTACGAACATATTTTTTCAATTGTAAGGTAAGTGCTTAGCTCGAATATAATTACTGTAAAAATCAGAAATATCGGAAGCCCGGAAAGAGTCAGCAGACGCGACAAAATAGAACAGAAAAGAACAGTCATTCTACCACTTCGAGGTTGGGTGATTGGGTGAGTGGAGCGCCGCTAGTGGCTCGTATCATGAAGCTACGAAGCCGTGTTTTAGATCATTCCAAGGGAAGAGATGCAATAGTTTCTCTACCTTTAACACCTGTAAACTATAGCATGCGAATGTCCAGTATTTTGCCACTATCCTGTAATAGAACGAAGTTTTCTCCTTCAATGAGCGTATCATTCAAAGCATATAAGTGGTACCTTCATATGTAAAGTACAACGTAGGGAAGCAATAAATCCTTATGATTACTCCCAAAATACTGAATAGAAACTCGCAAGAATCTCAGCATGCTGCTTCGGTACCCACTGTATATGTTGAGCGTGCAGCTTCTGTAGTGTTTCAACTGAAGTGCGTGGAATAACCTTTAAAGGCTTAAGCATTAAATGACCCACAGGACGTGGGATCGAATCCCGGCAGCGGCGGCTGCATTTTCCACGTAGGCGAAAATGCCGTAGGCCCATGTGCTCGGTAAAGTTCCCTAAAGGGTCAAAATTTCCGAAGCCCTGCACTACGGTGTCTCATGTATAGTCACATGGTGGTTTTAAGCCGACAAATCCCCCCCCCCACACACATAATATATATATATATATATATATATATATATATATATATATATATATATATATATATATATATATATATATATATATATATATATATAATTTTAAATGCATCTTCAAACACATGAAAATTGAGTAGCGCTCCTCGTGTGCGTTCCAGTTGGCGCCGTCTACACTAGTTGTGCGAAACATCACGTGATGATGTCCTGGGACAAGATAGATCTCCAAACTTTGTGACGTGTTTATGGTGCCATTGGGACATTGAGGTGACATCACATGACGTAACGTCACATGATAACACCACTAGATTACATCGTAGCTTGGTTAAAGGCGGGCCGATCTCAGGAGCTGGAAAAAGCATGTTAATGGCTTTCGTTCCCAGAGCCAGTGGTAAATTCGATAAGGTGCTCAAAGCTTTCGAAGATGGACGGGGCAGGATCGGTTGATGGACTAAAAAGAACACCACGGCTTTTGCCTCGACGTCGTGTTAGGTGCGTTTATAGTGTGAGCCAGAGACCAGGCCAGTTTTTTCGGGTGAACTTCGATATCGAGGGCTTTGCCCGTACACGCTTGACGCCTTGGGTAGCATGCGAGGGTTTGTATGAAACTGCCGTTTGGTCAGATGATCACGTGCTGGTGCGCCCTCTGGGCAATCATAATGATGTTTAGCGCAAACACTAGACAAGAGACAACCGAGAGGACGTAGACGCATCGGATGCGTTCACACTCTCTCGTTTGTCTGTTAATTGTTTGTGCTCAACACCAGCATTCGACTAATTCGATCTAACACACCGAAAGAGCAATGTTCCTGCCCTTTGGGCAAAAATTTGGCTGGTGGCGTAGATTATTGGAGTCTTTTACGCAAAAAAAGTGGGCACTGGTGGCCTTTGCTCTATATAATTCGTGATTCAAGTCAAACGGTGCGAGTTGGACTGAGCACTGCATATATCGGAGGCAGGGCCGTAACAAAGATTTTTTTCGTGGGGTTGAGTGAAAACACACATGCTGAAGGGCTTCACCATATGAGGAAAATACATACTTTGAGAAAACTATTTACTGGATTAAGCAACACTAAGAAGAAGGAGGCACCTACTCCACTACTCTCCCACACCATGCTGTGGGTTTTGTTATGGGTAGAAGGATTTGAAACTGGGCCAGATGTTGACAACACTTGAAAATTAGACAACCTCCTCTCGTTTGTCTTTTCTTCTCTTGTATCCACGTAGTCGTGCGCTGACTTAAAGTATGTTCAATCTTTTATGGGGGTGGCTTCCACGTCGACTACACGGACGAACAAAGCCCATCATCTATGGCGTCACGTAACATTGGTACTCAGAGGGGCCGACTTTATTGAAATGACAAACACGCTAGAATGTGATGACGTGCATAATGTGAAAAGCAGTTTTCATTGTATTCCTGCAGGTTCAGCAGCAGAATTTGATATACTTCGCTCACGTGAGCCACCAAAATTTTCGACAATTGCCATGAGTGGGCCGGTGCCGAGTAGCCGACATCATCGTGATAATCATAATTATGATCAAGAAGGTAAGCGAAGCTCCTTCTCATTACTTAATGTCCAATGGCACAATTTTTACAGAGCTCTGCTCCTAACAGAAAAGTTGTCGATTTGATGTTCGCCACAGTGGTATGTTTAGGGTGGAAGAGAATTTTTGGAGGCAGGCCTAATTATATCTAGGTGCTAGTCGAAAAAACCGAAATTCTTTGTGGTCATGTAGTTTTGACGCGTAAAACTACGAGCGATATATATATATATATATATATATATATATATATATATATATATATATATATATATATATATATATATATATATAGAGAGAGAGAGAGAGAGAGAGAGAGAGAGAGAGAGAGAGACTATCAGACAATAATGCCAAGGAAAGCATAGGGGAAGGTATTAGACCCAACCGTTATTAAAGTGTAAAAAAAAATGTCGGTGAAACGATGACTTGCCGGGAGCAGAAACCAAACCTGCGACCTTCGAATAACGCGTTCGATTCTCTACGACTTAGCTACCGCGGTGGCCCCAGCCACTTTATTGGGTATATATGTGAATTTAAACGTGGGAATGTCAGTCAGCGCCACCAGTAGCTATGGAGGCGAGTGAAGGACACTCTATACTTTCCCGTATACTTTCCTTGGTATAATTATGCCAAAACACGGAAAAACGAGCCCTTAAGTATACACTTCCTTTACACACACACACACACACACACTCATATATATATATATATATATATATATATATATATATATATATATATATATATATATATATATATATATATATATATATATACTCCAGTAGATCCTCCGTGAGCGGTCACAACGTGGTTACTTCGACTTTTCGGCCTAAAGTCTGGCCTTCATCAGGCCATCTTAATGAAGGCCAGACTCTAGGCCGGAACGTCGAAATAAACCACGTTGTGACCGCTCACGAAGGATCTACTGGGCTATATGCAACGCTACGGCCACTAAACTACCATGCCTGCCTATATATATATATATATATATATATATATATTGTTGGAATATATAATCTTATTTTGTGGGGTATGTAACAAGAAATACGTCGGCCAGACAGACAATGTGTTTATAATTAGATTCAACAACCATCGGGCCCATGTACGATCCCTGCCAGGCCTTCTACTTTCAAAACACAGCACATTAAAAGACCACAGCTTTGATGACATCAGGGTTACACAGGGTTACACTATTTTAAAACAACTTTCGAACAATCAGAGAACGGGAACAACGGGAATCTTATTTTATCTACAAATGTAACACGATAAAATACGGAATAAATGAACACCCAGGCACTCTGTCAGCGTTTCGACCGATAAAAGACGCGAATGCTTCTCTCTAATCGGTCCGTTCTCATTACGACAGTACTATTACCCGCTAATATAGCTTTTAACCTACGCATCTGACAACATAGAAATTGTTTTTCTCATCAAGCACAGCCGGAACGTACAAGTAGTTAGGATGTCGTACAGTTTCCCCCCCCCCCCCCATTTTTTTCTTCTTTAATTTTGAACGTACATTTTCTGTTCCTTCACTGACAGGAGCCATTGCATATAATGAATATCAATGGCGGCGCCTCAATTACCAACTTTTTCATTCCTCCCGACTCCACCAGCACGCACTCGAAGCGCTTAGGCTCTCTCTCCCCATCAACTTGTCTTAAACTTCAAAGAGGAACGAGCCGCCAGGGGATTACACGGGAAGGTGAAATACAAGAACGGCGGCACACTGCCCACTTGAGGAAGAGTGTGTGCGGGGAGGCATTGTTAACAATGATGGCATTGCTCGTCTACCTCTGCCCTACTCTGTTGAGATGCTGCCCCTTTCTAATTGCGCCATGTCGGTCTTGCTTGTTCTCCTAGATTTTCTATACTTATTTAACGTTTCTCCTCCCGTTTCGTTGTTTCTTTTTTTCTTTTTTTACTTTTCTTTTGACCCCTTTCCCTCCTGTCTCGACAGGCTATAAGAAGACACCGAGCATGTGTAAAAAATATTATGCCTGGAAAAAGGCGGGGCTCCCATCGAAACGTCGGCAGAATAAACAGTTGATATGTCAAAGCACATCTACTTTTATATTTATAACCTTGCGGCAACCAAAGTTATTTCATTCTTCTGCACACACACACACACACACATATATATATATATATATATATATATATATATATATATATATGTATATATATATATATATATATATATATATATATATATATATATATATATATATATATAGTCACAGGGGTGCGTTATGTTTAGGTTTCACGTTACACCCACAAAGACTGGACTGTTAGTAACGGTCGGCACCGACCGGTGGGCCTCAATACTTCAAAAGCCTCGCGACATTAGACGGAGCTCACGCAAGCATTAGCGATAAAGCTCGAGTGTTCGCTGCATTCATAAATGTCTACACACCTGATTAGAGATCAGGTTATCGATGACCGCCGCTCTATTCGCAGCTGTCAGTATACACAACTGGAATTGCTTGTTCTTCGAACATTTTGTTTCGGGACACACGCTCTTCAGTTGAAATGTTTCATCTTGATTATTCCGACTGCTGCCTTCGGTAATGCCACGAGGCCGTGACAATGCCAGTTTTTCTTCGCGAGTGCATTCACTTTCACGATTGAAGTTGCGCCACGGTTACGGTGAAAGAATACCTTAGGTGAGAGAACGCCGTGATGCGAGTGCTTGGCCGGGACGTACCGATTGTGTTTTCGTTTGCGGCATGCCGACAGTTGTCTGACCGGACTCAAGACCATGGTGGGCTGCTGGGACATTCCGCAAAGCACATTCGGCACCTGAGCGATGGTTTCCAAATCTGAGAAAACCAGGTTATCGCGCGATATAAACCATGCAACACGCATAGAGCGGTGCCGCGAAATGAAAGCGGGGTTGATAAGAGAGAAGGTTGACGGGGCAGTGGGGGTGTTGTGGCCGTGCTAAACGAGCGCCGCTACTTTTCTGCGTCACGGAGCTTTCCCACATCAAGAGGCGCTCGGGTGGAGCTGGAGCATAGTTTCTAGCACCGTCTCTCAGACTCCTTGCGATGAAGAACATTATCGGGCAGCGGATATAGTCCCGGAGTTCGCTCACTCAAAGTATTCTTGTACCGTGGCCGCGGTGGAACAAGTATCGGAAACTCGTGCTACTTTCCCTAATGTGAAAAACTGAGCACATGGTGCAGGCTGACTACGACCATCTCACGTCACCCGACTACTAGAAGCCGTGGTGTAACCCGAAAAAAGAATGCCTATGAAAGTGATTCTGATACTTGGCGTGTAATGCGTAAATTCAACTAACCTTCTCAAGCCCTTCCTTCAATTTAGATAAATGCGATCGCTCTTTTGATGATAAGTTAAAGGTACTACATTAATTACATAAAATGGATCCCTACAATCATAGAATGACCTTATAGATAAGAAATATTAGCACAATCACGAGTAGCACGGAATCGTGATACTGTGAGATAGGCACCTGGTATATCTACTCTTAGTGTACCGCACCGACGTTTGAGCGGCCCGTGGTCCTCTCTCAATGAAAAAATTGAGGAAGACTTCTTGTGACCTCAATGAAGTTTAGTAGCTACGCATCTTCCGTTCGGCATCATCAAGCGGCCTCTTATGCAAGCAGTAAAAGAATCACCCATATAACTTACAAGAATGGCTTGCCCCCATAAAAATAGTTTTTTTTACACAGAATGAGAAGAAAATACCTGTATTCATAACACTTGTGGAACAATACTAACAACCAATCTAAGACGAAGGCCAGCCCGACCGTAGTTCATAAGACGAACCATTGGTTTAACCGTGAGCCCAGAGCTTCAGAACCTAGCCTGACACTGGCCTATCATAAGGATAACTTTTTTCGGCTCACCTGGCACGTTGATAATATTATTTGAGGTTTAGAGCGCCTAAACGTCACCATGATTTTAGGAGATGCAGTTGTAGAAGGCTCCATACATTTCGACAACGTGGGGTTCGTGAACATGCACCTAAATCTGAGCACATGGGCCTCAAACATTTTGGCCTTCATCTAAAGTGCAGCCGCCACCACTGGGATTCGATCCCGTGACGTTTCGGTTAGCAGCCGAGTGACACAACCACTAGGCTACCGCGGTTCGTCTCGAACTGACACGTCTGAGCTCGAGCACGTCTATAGTGCTCTCAAGTTCACAAGGTAGCCAATTCTGCCCCGCCGCCGGGGTCTAGTGGCTAAGGTACTCGGCAGCTGACCCGCAGGTCACGGGATCGAATCGCGGCTGCGGCGGTGGCATTTCCAATGGAGGCGGAATCGCTGTAGGCCCATGTTCTCAGGTTTGGGTGCCCGTTAAAGAACCCCAGGTTGTAAAAATTTGTGGAGCCCTCCAATACGGCGTCTCTCACAATCACATGATGGTTTGGGGACTTCAAACCCCACATATCGATCAATCAATCAATCAATCAATCAACGAATCAATCAATCAATCAAGTCAGCCTATTGCAGGGGCATTCACTTAGGCAGGATTGTAAACAGAATTGCAGCGCTTGAGAAGAACAATATGGTGGCAATAAGTGAGCTGTACCAACCAACGAGTATGCGATTCGAAGAAGGATGATGAAATCACTTGCAGAGATATGTCTATTCGTCCGGTTCCAGTCCCCAAAAGCAGCGTCAACAATTACTTTTGTTCTACTGCAGAGGGTACCGCTTTCGTTCTATTGAAGTTGCATATGGTTCCTATCTGGCCGCATGCCATAAAAAGGTCAGCGATGTCGAGGAGTGTAAGCGCCCGTTTCACGCACAACTGATAAGGAGTGCTGGCGTGGACGAGTGTACTTGTGCCGCTGAGTGCATACTTGAAGCCAAACATACAGTTGCAATAGCAATGCAACACGATACGATACAGTTGCAATAACAATGTTCGAAGTTTTGTACGGTCTGGCCGGCGATCTGAGCTGTCGGAATGTGCTGATGTTTCTTTATCAGCCCTTAACTAGTGTCCTTCCCCAACAAATGCGAAGTTCAGGCGAGGACGTGCACAAATAAGGTGCCCGCACTGAGCTCACTGATATAAGACCATGATGGCCGGTCTGGATGACAGCGTGTACCGCAAGGCGAACGGGTATTTTTCCATTCAAGAAACACACAGAATACGAGACACAAGACATCAAGTAATACCGGAGAAAATAGATAATATAATTCTTTAAAGAAAGATTCCAAAACTTATTTTAATAAACACAGGTATACACGTCAAAAACATTCCGTGAGGCAATTCCAAGGGTACGCACCAAGGGGAACTGAACAGCAGCTACTGAATGAAAGATGCTAGAATTCGTAGGTGTCAGCTGGCTGTATCGGTTTTATTAGTTCACTCGTCGACGTTGCGATGCTCAGCGAGTGTATAAATGTGTAACCTACACGCCTTGAAAGCCTTGCTGGTTTTTGTTAAATTTAAGTGCTTAGAAAACACTGCGTGTCATCTAAGTGCCTTCTTTCTCCTGTCGCCGTGTTGAGCTGTGAATATGGCAGGTATAAACCAGCTCGCCAAGCATATTATTTCGATGACAACTTTATCCACACCTCCACGCAAACTTAGATTAAGCTACTGTGCTGAGACAACTACAACGAAATTGCACCATTAACAGATTCGGATCTGAGAGTTTCGTGTTGCGAAATATTTAAACTATAAACTTGAAATAAGATTGAAAGCTCGTGAATAAAGCATATGCACGTGAGGGCACTTTCACTGGGACAGAATGTCACTGAAAGCAGGCAATATGGGAGCCACCTTGAAAGACGCAAATCACAAACCTATTGCGGTCAACTGCGGGCTGTATAGCGAGAACACCTTGGGTGCTAACTCCACTTACTGAAAAAGAAAGCTGAAACCCTGTTCTCTCTTCCTACGCTTTTAGTGCATCACCTAAATGGCCGCGTGTTGTTTTAATTTGACTCTCATCAAAACAGAAAAGAAGACCAGCTTGTAAGTGAGTAGGAATGCAGTAAAGTCCCAATATTCAATTCAATGTGGAGCGCACTTCTATACTAGAGGTCACATTTTCCATATACCTACAACATATCAGCAATTTGAAAATGGTGCTGTTTAGGCTTGCTAACAATACTAACAGCGCAGGGAGAGTGTTTCTTCCCACTTCCGGTTTTGTCTAGAAGATTTGTTTCTTTATATATTGTGGACTGTCGATGAAGATTGCACACTTCATCGATTACACTTATGGCTCCAGGAACATTGAAAAAAGGTCCTTAGTGAACTCCAACCAAGAGGATCAGGTGCGCTGAGAGTGAGGGCCCCCGTCTCTTTGTGATTACAATGTACCTTCTACTTAGAGCACATATTTGAAGCTGCCTTCTACACAAAGGCTTTTTTATCGACTGGCTTCATCTCGGAAATTCACTTTCACCTAGTATAACTACTGCACAGCCAACTACATGTAAGTTGTTCGAAAGATAGTTCTACCACTCACCCAATCTGCTTACTTACTACTCAGCGTGGGGATGTTTGGCGATCCCGATGGCTTGACCGCTGCAGGTGTCACGGCAGGCGCCGCTCGTCGAATCCGAGTCGAGATTCGCTCGGACTCGCGGGCTTCTGCTCATATACTGTGCAGTTTTGATGAAGCCAGATCTGTGAATAGCAGCCGCTGCAGTGGAGGTGAGTCACGTCCTTTGCAAGAAAAAAAAAATACCCGATGCAAGGGGGTGGCGGAAGGGCTATCAACAGATAGCACCAATTGACACTGGCAGTTGGAGGGTGAGCAATCCCTCTCGACGTTTTCTCCTTCCACCGAGCGTGTCAATGCCACGCGATAAGGGGGAGCGGGTGCTGGAAGGAGGGTGTGACACCAGCACCAAATATCTATCTATCTATCTATCTATCTATCTATCTATCTATCTATCTATCTATCTATCTATCTATCTATCTATCTATCTATCTATCTATCTATCTATCTATCTATCTATCTATCTATCTATCTATCTATCTATCTATCTATCTATCTATTCAGGCGTGCTTCTCTGCGTGTTCTGCGGATCGAAGCTGGCCATTCACCTGTATGAGTGTCATGCGCACATGTCATGCGATGTTAACATTGCAACATGGTCTTCACGAAATATCCACTAGAGCACATAAATCGCGGAATGCTTATCAGGATGTTGGTGAAGTAATTCGCAAGATATTCGCGTCATAGCCGGTAGCTAATGTTCGGGTACGCTTTTGCCAGTTCTGACGTGTATCTAGTTAACGAAAAAGCCACAGACCACGAAGAGGTGCGCGCCTTCATAGATAGATAGATAGATAGATAGATAGATAGATAGATAGATAGATAGATAGATAGATAGATAGATAGATAGATAGATAGATAGATAGATAGATAGATAGATAGATAGATAGATAGATAGATAGATAGATAGGATAGATAGATAGATAGATAGATAGATAGATAGATAGATAGATAGATAGATAGATAGATAGATAGATAGATAGATAGATATTTGGTGCTGGCGTCACGCCCTTTTTTCAGTACCCGCTCCCCCTTATCGCGTGGCGTTGACACGCTCGGTAGAAGGAGAAAACGTCGAGAGGGATTGCTCGCCTTCCAACTGCGGGTGTCGATTGGTGCTATCTGTTGATAGTCCTTCCACAACCCCCTTTCATCGGTTATTTTTCTCTTCCAAAGGACGTGACTCATCCCCGCTGCACCGGCTGCTATTCACAGATCTGGCTACAACAAAGTTGCACAGTATATGAGCGGACGTCCGCGAGTGCGAGCGAATCTCGTCTCGGATTCGTCGAGCGGTGCCGGTCACGACAACTACAGTGGTCAAGCCATCGTGATCGCCAAACATCCCTACGCTGACTAGTGTTGAAACAGATTGGGTGAGTGGTAGAACTATTTTTCGAACACCTAATATGCAGTTGGCTGTGCAGTAGTTATACTAAGTGAAAAAGCCGTTGTGCAGAAGGCAGCTTCAAATATTTGCTCTAAGTAGAAGATACCTTGAAATCGCAAAGAGTCGTGGGCCCTCACGCTCAGCCAACCTGATCCTTTTGGTCAGAGTTCACCAAGGGCCTTCTTCAAGGTTCCTGGTGTCATAAGTATACTAGAAGTGCGCAATCTTCATCGTCTGTCCGCACCATATCTAAGGAAGCAAATCTTCTAGAGAAAACTGGAAGTGGAGACAAACATCCTCTCTTCGCTGTTTGTGTTGCTAGAAAGCCTGAACAGCACAACTTTCCTTTCACAGATAAAATGTAGGCATATGAAAAGTGCGGTCTTCAGTACAGAATTGCGCTCCACATTGTGTTGAATATTGGTAGTTCACTGTATTTATACTCACTTGCAAACTGATATTACCTTCTGTTTTGATGAGAGTCAAGCCAAAACAGCACGCGGCCATTTAAGCGATACGCTATAAGCGTAGAAAGAAAAAGAAGGTGTCGGGTTTGCCTTCGTCGGATGTAAGAAAAATTAGATTCATTTCTGCCTTGGTAATGGTAAATTATATGCGAGAATGACCCTCAAGTAGGGTCGAACTATTGTTGAAAGACCCTTGGATTTGTGGCCTCGTGGCCTAACGTTGCATCGATTGCCAATTAGAAGAAAATAACCGTGAACTCACTCACACTGCAAGCTAATCTACTCAGGTTGAAAAGTTAGCAACGAAGAGAAATCAAGTATTTCGAGTGCTAAATTCGAGGCACGTCACTTTTTGAGAACACTAATGTTGTATCTGCACATGAGTTTTAAATCTTGTTTTTTATGGTCACAAAAATAGAAAAGGCTGCTTGGTTTCAATACAATTTCAATTGTTGGTCAGTGCCCCGTGCGTCTTGTAGGACTTCTCTGTAACGACGTCGTACGCTGTTTGATTGAGTCTGTATAACATTGAGAATACAGGTCACTTAGTTCACAGGTGCTTTACAAGGAGGTCCCCATTTGAACATTGCAAGGGGCATTCCCTAAGGATATCGCATCAATTCAATTCAAGACAGGCAAGCAGGCAGCAAGAAATGCTAATAAAAAACTTGAAATAAAAAACGATAATACAGGAATGATATCTTAAAAAGTGCACTGCAAGAACATTGCATAAAACAAAACTAAAATACATGAGAAACAGATGGACGTGAATGTTAAGTGCGTAAGGCATGAAACAGTCCAACAACCTTCAAAACATAAAATAACGTTAGCAATTATGTCATTATTGTACAAAAATTGTACTTCAGTTATGGTAATTATGAAGTTAACATTCTTCTTTTCTTATGAGACTATTCATTCTTTTTAAGCTGATTTTCAAAGCTTTTGCCTTGGCTAACCGCAAACATTTGCGTGTTGGGAAGAAAGCCCAAGGTCAAATACTTAATATTTGTACTTTAGATATCGCTATACATCGTTGCACTTTTTAAATGAGGTCAATAGTGAGTTTCAAAAATATGCATCAGAACCCGGTTATGTCCGTTTGCTACAATTCTGGGCAACCATCTGCTAGAGTATGCTATGTTTTGAAGGAATGTAGTCAAATTAGCATTTATTAGGTGGCAGAATGGCACGCCTTCCGACTCAATGTCATTCTTACGCACGCGAAATATGAACATACCTTGTATAGTTGTGTGAAAATTTTAATGTGGAAGGAGAAGGTCAATATTATCGTAGGCAGGTGTAACGAAGTGTCTCCAGTGACTGAAGGTGATAATTCTGATGTCAATTCTATAGCCATTTAGTGGCTTGTCCCCCGTTCTTTGGTTGTGAGTATTGCTTCAAGCAGGGTACTCGAAACATTCTTGGTGGTTTACCAAAATTACGGAGCAGCTACGAAACTCCTCGAACTTTGTGGCACCCTCATGCAAGAACCATATTTTGCTCTGTCTACTTACTTGATCGATGCTTAAGTGTGTGCCAGCTTCCTAGATTGTAAGTAGGGTTCACTCTTCTCGGTAGTGCAGAAACATTGGTATTATGATGACTTAATTGCATTGATTAAACCTAGTTTTCAATTGCTATGCTGGAATCATCTGGATTTTATGGAGAACGACATCGCCTGTAGTATTTGTGGCTAGTCTAATTAACTGTCACCTTACATGTCATTCTGCCATTTCGTTAGGTGTGTTATGAACCCCAAGGTCTATTTTATAGACTGTAGTACTAGTTCGCATTTTTAGGCCAAGTACTAACTGGTCTTTATTCCGTACGCCCATGATATTGTCAGCAGACAGTATTTCGCAGTTACTACATTGGCGTTACCAAAACTGGAGATTTACCGAAGTATAGATGGTGGAGGCTAACACTTTCTCGAGGAAGCAGTACTATCGCTTTTTTGTGGGCTGTTTGTCGCCGTTCAATGAATGAATAAAAACATTGCACGATCAGATGCCAACACTGCACACGATACAGCTAGCCATTACACGCTACTAATTCTAATGTGGCCGTTCCTCAAGGGGCCTGTATTATTTTGTGGTGACAGACTCTACAACACTCACACAGTCACCACCGGGAACATGTTAATGGTGTGAACTTTATACCAGTTGTGTAAATTAAAGCGTTAGAGCTAATAAAGAACACCATCTAGCAGTGTCGGGGTCTTTCTAGCTTTCTATAGGAAGCTAGGAACACCTAGGAAGCTAGAAAGCTTGATCGGCAGTGCGTGTACTTCACATCCTTTTCAGTTATCCTTTGCCAGGCTTTTTCTAAGCGTAAGCGATGCTAGTTTTGAAAACTATGGACTGCTGTAACTTGCTCACACAAAGCACACGTGGAATTCTCGACGCGCTTATTCATTTACTGTCATCACACTGCTATATATATAAACTCACAAAACACGTTGAGTACGAATTTATGGGCATCTTGGTGTCCCAATAACAATAAGGAACATTCCACATATTGGCGTCGGTGAGATTGATTGCTAGCTGCGGGGATATAGGCAGTGGTCGCACATTGAGCTGCCTGCCCACAAGCGTGGTAAACACTGAGAGGTATGGAAATGCTACATTTGTCACCTTGCCACTGCACACATGAGCAGCTGATACGTGCAGTACCGTGTTGAAGAACCACACTGTGGCACAATTACTCGCTTAAAATTGCACTTTATATGTTTGAGCACGTAAAACTGATGCAGCCGACAGTCACGCCTGTCAACAGCTCTGTTTCCACAGCAGCACTGCGTTGGTGCTTAGTAGCCGCTCTGGAGAATGCTTCGCGGAATGTTTTTCTTTCTATGTACAGTCCTGGTTAAACGTTCCCAGCAACAGTGACCTGAGAACTTTTACACCCCTTCCCCCTATCTCTTGTAAATCTTCCTTCGTAAACAAAGGCTTACGCATATCGCGGGAAAAAATGATTCTTTAACAAATATATTCATTACATTCCCTTTGTTCTACTACTGCTATTTATTTCACTTTGGTGACGCATACGCCACACTTCCGATGATCTCGTATGAGCACATATTAATCATACGTGTTTTTGTGTGATCATACGAGATTATTAGTTGTAGTACCTATGTCCCAGATCAGTTTTTTTTTTTCAGTAGGGTTCCGCGTACCCTTTGCACGAGATTGAACTCGATCGTGCTTGTGCAACGCGGTTGCATCGAGACCGATCATGGCCGAAAACCGTAACGGGCGAGAAAGTTCTGGATATAGTTCGGGCCTGTGAATACTGTATGTTTATTTTCCGTCATGGTTTAATGACCATCGCGAAGGAGAAATTGGATAACAGCATGATCTAATCGGTCAGACGGCGGCAGCTACCATCGCCGCCACGTCATAGCTTCAAGCGATAAAGTTCTACGTCGCGCAATTGTCGCAACTGGTACGCGCACTTGAAATGATTGTTCGATGACTCAAAAACGTGTGTCAACGTTGGCTTGCAGTGTCAGTTCCTTGTTGTGGCGTGACACAGGTGCCTTCCACTCTACGTCGCCGACAAACTTGGCATCTGCAGCTAGATATGACTCATGCACCCTTCACAGACGGAAGCAGTACCTTCTGCTGTAAAACAAAAGTAAGAGTCGAGGCAAGAGTTTGAGACTTCAATAGAAGAGAGACACGGCTGAAGTCAATTTATCGTGATTATGAAAAAGCGCATACTTACTCGTGCGTACTGCTCGCCAAAGTCCGCCATTGAGCCACTCTCAAGGGCGCAGTGCTGGGGACAATCTACCACGAGTGAATTTCACAACAGCGATTGACTTTCTTGCGCAGTTTGAGAACAGCACGCGTTCAGGCCTACACAAAAACAAGGCTCCGCCCGGCCCATACGCCAAGCCTGGTTGGTTTGAGCAATGTAGTTTTCGCGACAGGCTTTTTTGGCAACGTCTCACTACTTCATGCTTCATTGGAAATTAGGCAATATTGAATAAAATTCGCCAAATTTTCTGAATACGGCATTTGATTTTGCAAATGCCGTAACAATATAATATAGTAAGTTTATACCTATAACTTATCATCGCAAGAGCGATCATATTTGTACAAGGCGGAGAAAGGCGAAGGTGTGTACAAGGTGGAGGTGTGCGAGTGTGTGTATATGTGTGTTTGTGTGTGTCTCAGTCGTGGCTCCCATAGGTAAGAGGAATGGAGGCAGGTTTGGACAGTCTGCTAGCGTGCCCAAATTGTTTACGTGTGAGGTTTCGTCTTATGCCGCTAACTGGTACGATAGCTACATGATTCGGCCGCTACAGTGTAACAGTATCAAACTTCTAAAGCCTTATTCCACAAGACGTGGGGAAAGCGTATTCGTTTGGAGATAAAATGCGTGCACCCGACGCACCTTGTGTGTAATTTAGACGCAAAGCAGCCAGCGATGAACATTTTTTTTTTGTAATAGTGCCACACAGTCTGCATCAATCCGTTTGTGAAAATTGAGTAGTTGTTTACAATCAGAGTATTAGTCCGAACAAGTAGACTGCTGTGAGAGTAACTCGTAACCCCACGTTACGTTCGCAGAGAGGTTAGAACAGAGATTCTAGTTGCATCGGTGCAACGTCTTTCGTGCAAGACACATTAAGGTAGATTTATTTAGTCGCGTTTAGCGCCAGTCTACATTTGTTGCGCCACGTTTCGATGTTAATTGCACTCAAAAAATTAACGAATAAAAATTAAAACACACACTTTCATGAATGCCTGATGTCTACTCCAGGATTGACAACGTCAACCACATTCGTGATAACGAAGGTCTTTGAGAAAAACAATACAAATTCTTTCTTAACACTGTCGCCCAATTCGGGGGCTTGGGAGCTTTGGCCTTGCAGACCTCTTGCAGTGAGCCGCGGAAATGAGTAACGGAAGTAACGGCTCACTTCTCCCTTTCTCATTTAGCCCACGCACTGGCTTCTCTCTCCCCCCCTCCTTTCTTGAATCTGGCGTATTCGCTATGGCGCGCCGTTATGTGAGCTATCTCTTAACAACATTCCTTTTATTTTGATAAAAATTTAGTAGCCGGTTGGCCATACTTACATTACATTTCCCTACACAAAAATGTGGTCTTAAGCATTCCTAAGTCCACCACAATGTCCTTTTGCTGATGAAAATCCTGCTATGTATTTCAAACACAATATTAAAATAATAATAAACATTCAATAAATATAATATTATTATAAAATGAATAATGAGAACAATATTATTATGTGGGGCTTTATGTCCTAAAATCAATTATGATTACAAGGGACAGCAAAATGAAGGGCTCCGGAGATTTCCACCATCTGGTGTGCGTCAACATGCGCCGACATTGCACAGTGCAAGGGTCTTTTTCATTTCACCTGCATCAAAATGCGACTGCTGAGTTATGGTGATCAAAGCGAGAATGCGATCATTATGTATATTACGAGATATATTGCTACATATAAATGTTACACACAGCACGACTTCTTCTATGGATTTTAGTCCGCATCAGATTTTTACAATACGACCTCGATTGTACGCAGAATCAAGTTTCCGTGTTTATTGCTAACACCTTTGGTGCTTGTTTCTTGTTCTGAATGCATTTTGTCTTGTAATTGATTTAGTTTTATTATAGCTCAGTTCTTTTCTTCCTTTGAATAGGAATCACTAGCGCGGTACGTTTTCGAAAGACTTGTGGAGAATAGCAGTACTTGAATGAAAATGGCAAGTTGAGAAAAAAGTAGTTTTCTTGAGGAATGCCATTACTTTGAGTGCTTTTTTCCAGTTCCTAATCACGAACGCCTACCAAAACGCTCATATGGCAGTTATTCTAAATAATTTTGAAAATCAGAAATAAGCACAAAAACTAAATAAAAAGTGTTTCAAAGTATGCTTTGTCGAGGACTTCGTATAGCTGAATATACCATTTTATTCACATTCCTTAAAGGACCTCTGGCCCAAAATTTGCCTAGTGGAGATTCTCGTGTTGTTTAATAATCCTGCATGATGGGGGCTCTTATGACCACTTAGTTGAGCGTCACGTATAAGTCAATTTAATTTCATTTTAAAATAACGGTACCTGCTCATCCAGGTATTCAGGCGCCATCAACATTTCTAGTGGTTTGTCGTAGACAAGCGCCTCCTTGTGAAGGTGAAAAGGTAACAAATTCCATAAAGTGTGTGGTATTCCGGGATACAAAAATGCTTTTGCTGCCTAATCTGGAATATGCAGTTTGTCTTTCTGTATGCACCACTCCTCAGAAACTTCTCTTGGGCATTGGCGAAATAGGCCCTTTCGTCACAAGAGCAAGCAAATCCTGTTCAGTCGATTCGAATTAGTTTCCTAGTAATGGCGTTGCTCATTAAATGTTGCAGAGCCCATTTTTCTGAACAAAGAACTACTTCAGAACAAAGCTCATTAAAGATATCGTGTGGCGGGAGGATTCTCCTTAACGTGTGTGAGGGTGCGTAGCAGATGCGTCGAGCCACGCCAGTGTCAAAGCACGGGAATTGCGCAAACAGTGAATATTTTTTAGCTAACTAGTTACAGAGCGCACAGGTGTATTTAATTATTACCATGAGCAAACGCATCAACAAAGTCAGCAGCTTTCCTTGCTCGGGTTTTCCTTACAGACACGAAGTAGGCCTTTTGTGGATTCCCCAAGCAGAACTAGACCCTGCACAGCTGTACTTGCAGTACACATTGTAGGATAGCTTGAAGTGAGCAAAATTACGAGCATAGACATTCGCTTTTTGCAATGTGGTGGAGGTACCCACGCAGTACTGAACCGAGGCTCACAATTGAAAAGGTCATGCCTACGATGGCCGATGACGCTGTCACGTTCTTCGAGTTTCTGCATAAACTCAAGCGTTCTTCGAGTTTCGCTGAAGAGCAGTGTTCTATTTTTACGCATCTTACAAGCATTTCACTTCTGTGTCATACAAATAGCCATGACAGAAGGATAATCAATGTTCTTTTTTGTTATCTTTACTGACTCTTTCCAAGCTTTCATATCTTTAGTGGATACTCGGATGATGGTATAGTAAAATGTTTCAGTTATAACGGACAAAACTAAATAGCACATTTATTGAAACAATACCAACCAATCTCCTGCCCATGTGCAGGTCACCCTTGGTGGTTGCTACGATGGGCGGAGAACCAGTTCAAATCTTAAGAGTCGGGGATGGAGAAAGAATCGAGTTCAACCAGCGTGAGCTGGAGCGAATTCTCTTGACTGACCACGTGAAAGATCGCCCGGTCGTCGTAATATCGGTGGCCGGGGCGTACCGACAAGGAAAGTCCTTTCTGCTGAGCTTCTTACTGCGGTACCTGAGACACAAAGGTCGATCCGACTGGATGGAAGACACACATGCCCCACTTCATGGCTTTCAATGGCGGCCGGGCAGTGTTCGAGAGACAACGGGAATCCTGGTTTGGAACGAAGTGTTTTTGGTGGGGCTCTTACAAAGCAAACCAGACCTACCTACCTTCCTCTCTCCCTCCCTCCCTTCCTCCATTCCTCCCTCCCTCCCTCTTTCCCTCCCTCCCTTCCTTCCTTCCTTCCTTCCTTCTTTCCTTCCTTCCTTCCTTCCTTCTTTCCTTTCTTTCTTCCTTTCTTCCTTCCTTCCTCTTACACAGTAGCCAAGCTGTTTTAGCAATTGCGTCCATTTTTCCAGATGAACGATCCGAATGGCGAAGAGGTGGCGGTTTTACTGATGGACACTCAAGGGACCTTCGATTCCGAGTCAACAATGAAAGAAAGCACCGTCATATTCTCTCTCTCCATGTTGACCAGCTCTGTGCAGATTTACAACGTCATGACTAATATAAAAGAGGATGATCTTCAACACCTCCAATTTTTCGCTCAGTACGGCAGACTTGCTCAAAAGGTATTTACAACAACAGCGTAACTTCAGGGATTCGCTTTCTACTGACAGCTCTGTGTCACTGCAGGGCAAGAAAACACAAGCCTTCCAAAAGCTTTTGTTTTTGGTTCGAGACTGGAGCTGGCCACACGAATTTGAGTTTGGTTCCCGCGGTGGTAGATCACTCATCGCGAGTCGTCTGAAGATCACGCGAGGGCAAGCTTCGGAGCTCAAGACGTTGCGGCAGGATCTCTTGTCTTGCTTTTCGGACATCGACTGCTTCCTCATGCCCAGTCCTGGACAGAAGGTAAACTGTTTTGACGCAACGGCGTTATAAAGCTGACATCGAGGTAATACTTTTGTTGGCGTCGGTGTCGGCGTCGCTGATTATGACTGAAATGTTGGCGTTGTTCAATACCGAAACATTGAAGTAGGCATAATTGCAAATAAATATGTAACAATAAATCTTCAATTTGTGTGCGCATCAGACCCAGGCCACCTGCGTGGTAAGTAGGTATGTTGCCAAAGAGCCTATACCGAGCTCCGAATTGCTCCGGAGAAAGCAAGTACATGAATGTTAAGTAATGAGGGAATAGTGTCACAGCTACGGGTAATATTGTGTGGCAGATGAGTAGAACTTCACGAGTATTCAATACATATGATGTAGCACAAAGAAGAAGGTAACTGAACGCCTGCCCATGACCGAGTGCTCAGGCGTAAAAATCGAGATAATCGCCAACAATAGCATGAGCAAAGGGGCAGATGCTTGAGTCCGCGTGTTGCCTATTGGACGTGTACTCCGTTCTTTATAAATATCTAAAAAATATGAATTAGTAGAGACACTGTAACTGTGCTTGAAGTTGACATTTCTCGATGGTTTGGAAAAACTTATGTTACGCGATAAAAGTAGTTCCTTTGGCTACTTATAGATCTTCATCTTGACACAGCGAGCACACAACAAGATAACAGAAACAGGTAAGGACCGACGACACGAGCGCTGATAACCGAATGAAGTTTTTAGGGGCCCTCCACTACTGCCGCATAAAATATTTTTTCAAGTTTCAAGTTCATTTTTCAGTTATTAACACAGAAAAGGAACAGCATACAAAGTATATAATATTCAAAAGAGGTCTGAAAGCACAAGGCTGCAGGGGGACCTCATGTTCAAATTGGGATTACAAAATTACTCAATTAGCAGTAACAGTGAAAACAGATATATGAGTAAATTGATGAGTACATTGAGAAGCTACCAACTTGTTCTTGCTTCGGTTTTGTTTCTTCCGTAATCGTTAGTATTTCATTGCAAAATCTTTTCTGCGTATCTGTAGACATTGGTGCGAATCCACACACATCATGACACTACCTTGAGGAGCAGCGTTTTTGATTTATATCTCATGCTTCTGTTTCACCAATATAGCTTTTTTAACGCTGCGTGTTTAGCGAAGGAAAACACAGTAATCATCTTTTTTTCTCACTTGTTCGTAGGTGGTGCGTGACACGTCGTTCGACGGTCGTCTTGCAGACATAAGTGAAGAATTTCTAGATGAGCTTCAAGAGTTTGTTTCTTCCATCCTCGCACCAGAAAACCTGTTGGTCAAGGAGGTTAACGGCAAAAGGTTATCGTGCGAGCACCTAATGACCTACTTCAAGGTAAGCAGGCATAGTGTCATACGACATCCACATTACTAATGAAGCCTGCTCTTCTAGACCTATGTCGAAGTTTTCAAAGGAAGTGACTTGCCGGTGCCAGCGTCCATGCTTATGGTGAGGTACCGAAAGTAGTACCATGAACTTTCTTTAAGACACTGTGCTCTTCCAGGCGACTGCAAATGCCACCAATGTGGCAGCAACGGACAAAGCCAGACAGCATTATATATCAGTAATGAAAAGCGTAAGTACAAATGTCTCACAAAGTTTACAAAGTCACTGAAACATGATTATTTGTGGTATGTGCAGCGGCCTAGAAGAGACCTGGACAGGATGCGCCAGTTTCATCGCGAGAAGCTGGCAGAGGCGGAGAATGTTTTCAACGACTTTCCGAAGATGGGTAGTGACGCGATGTCATGCACATTCATGGATGTTCTCATTAAGGCAAGACCTTATATAGCGATATCGCTTCAACTGCTTTTTTTTTGGTACAGGTTGGCCTGAAGTCACTTGCAGCTATACTATTCCAGCAATCTGTGGGAAAGAATAATAACTAGTACGGCACCACCACTACTACCTTTACCGCTAAGAGTTCAGTAATAGTAACACTTATGTATTGAGCCCATTCAGAACCAAACTGCGTAGTCTTTTGCTGGGACACGCTAAAGAACTTCTACTAATAAACACAACACACAACCTCGAGAAGAAAGCCCAAACGAAAAAACTCAAACATGCAAAAAGCCTGAAAAACTGCCTTGAAATACGATGACTTTGCACTGACTTTCAAACCGCAAGCTCTTTCAGGAAATGTTCTTCATCAAGATATCGCGTTCAAGAAATCTTTTTCAATAAAATTTTCGTACTGGTTCACAACCACTGATCACTCGTCTTTCAAAATAACGAGAGCGAAGGGTGCCACGCGAAGTTCGGCTTATGATGTTGATATTGTAGAGAGGAAGAAAAATATGTGCCGCAGCGGGTCACGCCTTTAGCAAGAGAAGCCGAGCGCGAGCTGCTCCCCCGAGCGTTGTGTTTCCTGCGTCGGTTGCTGCCGCCCGCTTTCCGCATCAGTAGACCTGCTGTTCAAGTACTACTTGCACCAATAAACCCCGTTTCAGAGTGGTGGAGGTGCTGGGTAACTCAACCTGGAACTCCGCAACAGGAAACTACCTGCCATCCCAGACATGGCTGAAGAAAACACCCAGCAAGGTACGACCCAGCCTCCGACCGTCATCGGGCCCACTGTGCTACGCTTGCGCGATCCACTTTTTTTCGACGGTACTGATGAGCAAGACGTAGAAGATTGGCTGTCGACATTTGAAAAAGTAGGCGCAAGCAACAAGTGGGACGACCCATCGAAGCTGCAATATGTACCGTTCTACCTGAAAGAGGTGGCGAGTCTCTGGTTTAACAACCACCACTCGGAATTCGCCACTTGGGGTGCCTTTAAGCTACGCATTACCGATGTGTTCGGTCACCCCGAGGTACGCAAGCTCCGTGCTGAACAGCGCCTACGGGAACGCGCACAGCCTCGAGGAGAAGGATTCACAAGCTACATCGAGGATGTGCTCGACTTGTGCAAGCGCCTTGACCCTTCAATGATAGAGGCAGACAAGATCAAACATATTTTGAAGGGGATAGACGACGACGCCTTTCAGATGCTGCTGGCCAAGGGCCCACGTACCGTGTCCGAACTCGCCACTCTTTGCCAGAGCTTCGAGGAGTTGCGCAAACAACGGGTCATGACACGGCGTCCAGCGGCTACCGATGAAACTCTCGCGACATTAAGCCTGGGTGGAGACCACAGCACAATCATGTCCGAAATCAAACGATATGTGCGCGAGGAGGTGGCCCGACAACTTTCGTGCCTGTCGTATCTACCGGCAACGGAACCCTCTTCTGAGCGTCTCGCGCCCGCCATCAGGCAGGTAATACAGGCGCAGGTCTCTGAGGCATTGCCGTCCGTCTCTCAGACAGCACCCGTCACCGCGCCATTGACTTATGCTGCTGTTGCTGCTACTCCGCCATGATCTCCGCTTGGGCCGACTCCCCAGCCTGTACGAGTATCAACGACGCCATTTCCAGCAACACAACAGCGCTATAACGGAAACTCTTGGCGCACAGTTGACAATCGCCCGATCTGTTACGCATGTGGGTATCCAGGTCACATGGCTCGCTTCTGTCGCCGGCCCTTCGCAACAGGCCCGGCTGCACCTCCGAGCTACCCTGACTACTCTTTACCGGCCCCGTACAACGCGCAACGAGAACTGCCACGTCAATGCGACCGACAATCAGTGGAACGTGACCCATCACCAACCGAACTAGGCCACCGCCCTGCTGCCGACTACCGATCGTTCGGTCCCCGTCGCTCATCCTCACCACGCCGCTACCGTTCTCCGTCCCCTCTGCGTCGCCGACCGAACCCTGTAGAGACAGAAAACTGACTGCCGCAGCTCCGGAGGCACGAGCTGCGAATTCGTCGCATTGTACAGGTCCTCGCCCGCCCCCCACAAATGTTCTGGAAGTGTTTGTTGAAGGTCTACGAACTCTTGCGCTCGTAAATACGGGTGCCGCCTTATCTGTGATGAGTCAGAAACTCTGCCGTTCGATACGAAAAGTAACGACGCCGCCTTCCGACGTTTTGCTGAATACAGCGAGTGCGCAACCAATTCGACCAGTCGGAGCATGTACGGCGAGAGTAAACATTCAGGACGTCCTGTACCACATCGAGTTTCTCGTGCTGACCACTTGTGCTCACGACGTGATACTAGGATGGGGTTTTTTGTCACGCCACCACGCCGTGATTGACTGCGCTCGCGCGCAGGTGGAATTATCTGTGTTTTCAGATGCGCCATCTACAGACAATGAGCGCACTCACCTGGGCAAGCTTCTTGTTGCTTCCGACGTTGATGTTCCTCCTATTAGTGCCATCGTTGTCCCCGTCAATCGCACTGAATTGTCCGGCTCGACCATGGTGTTCTCCCCATCTCACGTTTTCAGTCGCCGCCACGGTACGTCTCTGCCATACGCTGTTCTGCCACCTCACCAAGATACTTTCGGAATTGTCGTTTGCAATCCTAGCTCATGCCCTCTGACCTTAAGAGCTCACGAAACACTGGGCTATGTTCATCCTGTTGATGACAACGTTATTGTGCCTATTGAGTCCCACGACCCTGGCCAGCAACTTCAACTGAACTCCTTTTTTTACGCGGGATGACTACTCCTCGGATATCTTCAATCGTTCCATAGACAGCAAGCTTCCTCCGGATCAACGGGACCAGCTAATAACCCTACTGCATGAATTCCGAGATTCTTTTGACCTTCCTCAAAAGGCACTGAGTCAAACTAACACCGTCGCTCACACAATCTACACCGGAACGAACTCTCCTTTGCGGCAACGCCCCTACCGCGTATCACCCAAGGAACGAAGTGTAATTGCAAAGCAGGTGGACGATATGCTTCAGCGCGGTGTCATCAAACCATCTTCTAGCCCCTGGTCTTCACCTGTTGTGCTAGTGAAGAAAAAAGACGGTTCGATTAGATTTTGTGTCGACTACCGGCGACTGAACAAAATTACACGGAAAGATGTATACCCTCTTCCCCGCATCCACGACGCTATCGATTGCCTACAAGGTGCCGAATTCTTTTCTTCGCTGGACTTACGTTCAGGTTACTAGCAAGTTCCGATGGCAGAGTGTGACCGTCCCAAAACAGCGTTCGTTACGCCGGATGGCCTATACGAATTCATGGTTATGCCATTCGGTCTGTGCAATGCACCTGCAACGTTTGAGCGAATGATGGACAGCATTTTACGTGGCCTTAAATGGCAGATATGCTTATGTTACCTCGATGATGTAATCGTATTTTCTCCTAATTTCCCTACCAACGTCGACCGTCTGCGCACTATTCTTCAGTGTCTTACCAAGGCAAACCTCCAGCTTAACCTAAAGAAGTGCCGCTTTGGGGCTCGCCAACTTACTATACTTGGTCACGTTGTGTCAAAGGATAGAATTTGCCCCGACCCAGACAAACTTCGAGCCGTAGCCGACTTTCCGAAGCCGACTTCACTCAAAGAACTTAGGAGCTTCATCGGCTTGTGCTCGTATTTTCGTCGTTTCGTCCACAACTTTGCAACAATAATAGCCCCACTTACACAACTACTGAACGGTCCAGCTAATCTTTCTAACTGGACCCCGGCATGCGACAAAGCTTTCCTTACACTGCGCCGCCTACTTACGTCCCCACCAATTCTACGCCATTACGACCCAAGTGGCCCCCCTAAAGTGCACACATATGCAAGTGGCGTTGGTCTGGCAGCAGTATTCGCGCAACGAAAGCCCGGTATTCCACTGTACGTCGTCGCATACGCAAGCCGCGCACTCACAAAAGCGGAGATGAACTACACCATAACTGAAAAAGAATGCCTCGCAATCGTTTGGGCGTTAAGCAAGTTTCGTCCTTACTTGTACGGACAGAGTTTTGACGTTGTGACCGATCACCATGCACTTTGTTGGTTGGCGTCGCTAAAAGATCCTTCAGGTCGCCTTGGACGTTGGGCTCTTCGCCTACAAGAATTCGACATTCGTGTCGTCTGCCGCTCAGGACGAAAACACTCTGATGCGGACGCCCTCTCACGATCACCAGTGAGATCCACCGCAGACCTGCATTCGGACACCAACTTCTCCATCGCTCCCATTTCCGTCACAAGCATGTCGTCTGAACAGCGGAAAGACCCATAGATAACATCTCTCCTTAACATTCTTTCCGACTCTTCAACGTCTGCGTACCCATGCGCTCTTCGCCGCCAAGCCACACATTTCGCGATATGGGACGCGCAACTATACCGCAGAAACTACCATGCGGATGGTCGTAAATGGCTCTTGGTTATACCACGCCACATGCGATCTGATGTCTGTGAGTATTTCCATGCCGATCCACAACATGCTCACTCTGGTGTGTTAAAACCATATCAGCGGATCCGCCAGCGTTACTACTGGCGTGGTATGTACACTTTTGTACGAAAATACATTCGGTCTTGGTGATTATGCCAACGACGAAGGCAGCTGCCCATTCACCCGAATTATTACAGCCTCTACCGTGTCCGGCGCGCCCTTTCGACCGCATTGATATCGATCTATATGGTCCCCTTTCTTACACTGCCACTGGAAATCGATGGATCATTGTCGCCGTCGATCATCTGACGAGGTATGCTGAAACAGCTCCACTGCCTACGGCAGGTGCACGTGACGTAGCCAAATTCGTTTTGCGACGCTTCGTACTGCGTCACGGGGCACCACGTGAACTACTAAGTGATCGAGGGCGTGTCTTTTTATCAGAAGTTGTACAAAAACTCCTTCAGGCATGCTGCACGGTGCACCGCACCTCTACAGCCTACCACCCGCAGACCAACGGTCTAACTGAGCGCTTCAACCGAATGCTAGGAGACATGCTCGCCATGTATGTCAATTCCGACCAATCAAACTGGGATGTCATTCTCCTATTTGTGACCTATGCGTACAACACCGCGACACAGTCAACCACAGGCTTCTCGCCTTTCTTTCTTCTATATGGGCGTGAGTTATGCTCCACCCTTGACACCATTTTGCCGTATCGGCCCGACGTCTCAGAGTTCAGCCCTATTTCTGAAATTTTGCACCACGCTGAAGAGTGTTGTCAGTTGGCCCGATCATTGCACCTCGGACAAGCAAGCATTCGAAAAAGACCGCCACGACCGCGACCAGCAAGTCGAGACTTTTGCCGTGGGCTCGCTTGTCTGGCTCCGACTGCCCTTCCACTCCCCAGGTCTGTCCGCTAAGTTTGCCCCCAAGTTTCACGGTCCTTATCACGTCGTCGAACGTTGATCTCCTGTCACATACGTGATCGAGCCGGTCACGCCATCTACAGACAGGCGATGCCTTGGTCGTGAGACTGTCCACGTGAGTCGTCTCAAGCCATATCACTACCCACTCCTAATCTCGTCACCTTGACTTGACAGGATGGCTCGTCTTTGTCGCCGGGGTATTGTAGAGAGGAAGAAGAATATGTGCCGCAGTGGGTCACGTCTTTAGCAAGAGGATCCGAGCGCGAGCTGTTCCCCCGAGCGTTGTGTTTCCTGCGTCGGTTGCTGCCGCCCGCTTTCCGCATCAGTAGACCTGCTGTTCAAGTACTACTTGCGCCAATAAACCCCGTTTCAATAGGAATGTTTAGGTGCACAGATATCCAAGAGTCCAACTGAGCACAAAGGGCAAATTATGTTTCATCAGTGAGACTGAATGAATTCCTCTGAAATCGTTCCCTCCCCCCATATGTAGGGCGATCTACGGTTATGAAACTACATATCTTCTGACAGTTGTATCAAGATCGCTATTGTTTTGGCAGGACGTCTTCCTGACCATCCGTCTCAGCTACTTTGTTTTTGACAGTGGTATCGCTTTCAAGGCGAAATCGCCCATTTATGTTTGTCCAGCCATGAACAGTAAAAAGCTCTGTTGGCAGGGTGTGTTTCTTGAGTGGAAAAGTGTGCGAATGAGTGAGTGTTTCTAAAGATTTAAGAGGCGCTAAACTTACTTACGATATCTTAAATTACCAGATTGCTCACAATGAGTTTTACTAATCCAGCATAGCCCTAGTTTCATTGTTGACTGGGGTTTTCTATAGACCCCGAAACGACTAACTGCCATAATTTAACATTAGTCGGTAAACTGTTTCTCTATGCAGAAAAAACACGAGCCACGTGAGCACGGCTGCCGATTCCACTCAAAAAAAAATTGTTGATCGAATAGGATTGCGACTAACGTCAGGCTATTTCTGAACCATGAGGATGAGTATATATTTACGCATGGCGGGTCCAGACTACCCAGCAACAGACCATATTCATACTATCTATTAGGTGATACAGAAATGCGTGGAATGCAGCCAATCCTTACATAACCTTCATTGATTACTAGAAGAAATTTGAATCGGTCAAGATATTATCAGTAATGCAGGCGCTACGGAATCAGGGCATTTACGAAGTATATATGATCATACTGTAAGAAATTTAGTAAACTGCGACTCACTGATGCCATTGGTTTGATGAATAACTCCAAGGACGTATAACAGCTCATGATTACTAAACTAGACACTGAAATCAAATGAGCCGGTCTTAAATTAATATGCATCACACTAAAGTACAGCGAAACAGTATCAGCGAAAAACCATGATTGGCGAGAATAGCGACACACTGCGAGTCGTAAAAAAATACGTCAACGTAGGACAGGTAGTAATTGCGAATTTGCCCCATGAGAGTGAAGTAACTAAAACAATAAGGATAGTGTGGAGACCATTCAGCAAGCAATTAATTTATTTGTGTCGTTTAACGCCCCAAAACCACCATATGATTACGAGAGACGCCGTAGTGGAGGGCTCCGGAGATTTCGACCACGTGGGGTTCTTTAACGTGCGCCCAAATCTGAGCACACGGGCCTACAACATTTCCGCCTCCATCGGCAATGCGGCCGCCACAGCCGGGATTCAATCCCGCGACATGTGAGTCAGCAGCCGAGTACTTTAGCCACTAGGCCACCGCGGCGGGGCCAGCAAGCAATCTCAAATCATGAATGTTAATCTAGCACTAAGCCTCAAGAGGAATGTATGTAACAGCTGCGTCTTTCCAGTACTTATCTACACAGTAGAAACCAGGGGAGTTACAAAGTGGGATGAACTCAAAGCTAGGACGACGAAGCGCGCGATGGAAAAGAAAATGATGGTATAAATATGAGAAACAAGAAGATGGCAGAGTAAGCCAGGGAACCAACCGGTCCTAAAGATGTCATAGTTAAAATGAAGAAGAAGAAATGAACTTAAGTTGCGGGTACGTAGCAACTAGGCAGGATAGGCGCTGGTCATTAAGCGTAACTGACTGGATTCCCATTGAAGGCAAACGCACTTGGGGGAGCCAGAAAGTTAGCTGGGCCGATGAGATTAAAAACTTTGCAAGTATAACCTGGTAGCGGAAAGTACAAGACTGAGTTGTTTGGCGGAACACGGGGGATGCCTTGACGATGCACTGGACGTAGGCATGCTGCAGTTAATGATGATGATTGTTGAGTGTAATACCTAATAACTGTTATGGTGAGCCATGTATTTTATGAGCGACTAATTTGTATGCTTAAAGATAGTGTGCCTAGTGGGATCAATGTTCGATAACCTTCAAGAGCGAAGACTTAGCCAGCGCCTCATTCATGCACCAAAATCTACTCACATCATGTCTGTGAAAAAGTGGCTACACAATAACTGTGGCGGCTCAGTGCTTGGTTGGTGGCACGAAAGACTCGGCCTTTATCCTGCGTCACGCCAAGCAATTTCATACAGATACACTAGTGAGATAAATTTTGCGAATGTGTTATCTTATGATGAGCTGAATGCACTTGGCGGCATTGTGTGTAATTGCTGTTTGTTCGTAGACGACCTAGCTTAATGTTCCAATATCATTGCCGGCAGTTTTTCGCTGTGATAATCCTGCGACGTCCAAATTATTTCGTAATCCCCAAAAAATTGCATCAAATCCCCGAGGTGAATCATGAGGAGTGGGGCGAACCTTCGAATGTTTTTTATCGGTACACTGTCTGATTGTCTGTCTGTCTGCCTCTGTGTCCGTCTATCTCTATGTCTGTATGTCTGTCGGTCCGTCCGTCCGCACCTGCAGAGTCAGTCATAGAACTAGACAGTCTCGTACCAAGAGAGACATGCATGTGCAGCTTAAAGAGCTTCGGCCCTTAAAAAAGACAGCTATTGTTTCATTAAGGCTTATATTTTCAATGCTTCCCTCTACTAAGCTTTTGCTTTCCCATCTAGGGACAATCAATGTTGAAACAAATATGCACTACTTTGATGATCCGTATTTCGTGTTTACAGGACCTTGAGGAACTGTTCGACCATTTCATGAAGGAGGAGGAGGAGATAATCAGAAAGGAGCAGGAAGAAGAGGCAAAGAGAGAAAGGGAAAGGCAGCTGGAGCGGGAAAGGGAAGAACAAAGGAAAAGAGAGCGAGAGCTCGAAAGACAAAAGGCAGAGGCAAGGGAAGCAGAAATGAAGAGAGAGAGAGAGGCAATGAAAGAGAAGGAAAGAAAGATGAAAGAAGAACGAATTAGAGAAAAAGAAAGAGCAGAGCGCTTGGAGAGAGACAAAGAGGAGTTTAACAGGCAGATGACAGCGATGAAGAAAAAGTGCGAGGACTTGGAGAAGGCGACGAGCGGAAACGGTGCGGATCTAGCCAACGCTATCGTGAATGGAATCGCAAATGGTTTGTCAGCGATCTCAAATGCGGCCGCTACATTCCTGACGTTTAGAACGGCCTTCAGAAAATAATGAAGCTATCCGATTGTCAATATTTCCGCCTCATTGAGTATCGCGCATTTCGATTCCTCAGTGTTTCGGTGCAGAATTCCGCCTGCATTTATTAACGCCCGTTCGAAATCCTAGCCTTATTGCTCCCGTGAAACAACAACGCAGCACCGCCGGCTGTCATACGCACTAACAGGAAACGTCACGCTGATACATGTGGAATAGCAGACGTATCGTTACCCTTCGGTTGCTTTGAAGAAATAGATTGAACAGAAAGCTACGGAGTAATTGTTCAATACACCAAATGTTTGCTTACAGTTGTGCTGAAATCCCGCGAGCCGACTGCATTCCAATTACAGGGCAGGCATATGAACCTGGGTATTGGAACGATGCCTGCCTCGGCTTCTAGCACTCTTCAAGAGAATTGCTCGTTTGGGCTACTTTGGTTACATGGGGCGCATGTGGACAAACGCCGTGAAGTAGACTTTGTGATTACTTATTGCAATAAAATGTTGCTTTTATTGAGCCATTGCGTATTCCGTACTTCGTCGTCTTTTGGCAACCACTTGGCGAGTACTTCTCCCGACACGACTTTTACGCAGTCTTCCATCGCAGTACAAAACATCTATTGAGCATTACAGGCTGTGAAAGTAACTCAAGCCGCAGGAAACCATGAAAAGGGAACGAACGTCAACCAAGAGAGAGCACAGAAGTACGTGTAAATGCACCTGACGCGCACGAACGATGGTCATCCCTGCTGTTGCAGTGGCACATGCAGGTTTCCTGACAGGCTGCACAAATTAGAGAAAGTTTACCTTGCTTCGTTGTTAAATGGTCATTGTTAATTTACATTAATATTCCAAAGCTAGCTCTCGCTATTTTCTCATGCTGAAGAAACCAGAGAGGCCAGTCGCTAGCGCTTCCTAATAATTAATTTGTGTAGCACATCTGGGAGGCGCCATTATCGGCTGCCCATGTTTCGTTGTTTTTCTGTATCTCAACGTGAATAGGAAAGGCCATAAAACATCGCATGCACCAATCCAACCGTTTCCATGCATATGCGTCAACTACAACGCTTTGTGTTCGCTAAAAAACACAAAGATTAAAACACCCAGCACAAAAATCCAAAACTCAAAGTGTAGCAGCCCGATACGGCTACACTCAAACGCAACCGTAAAATACATTGTAGCCGAGAATGAACATATCGCTGCCTTCCGAAGACCTAGTGCGCTGAGGGACCCCACGAATAATAATGCAAGATTTTGGAAACTCATCATTCGCTTATTTTTACAAGTAGTGTCGTTGCTCAATATAGGTTCGACTATCACATCAGGGTACCCCAAGATACATTTGGAGGTTATGTGCCTACACTTAGGGTGGGTTGAAGCCACAACCTTTAAACGTTGTGGTCCTTAATCCCAGCTACAGAAAGGGCCATTCCTTCTACCTTCGGAGATTATACAAATAGAATGGAACTTGAAATGCCAACCTTTAATGGCTGTCGTTTCGCGTCCAACGCATAGAAAGTTTGTTTTTATTATCCTAATTTATTTTTATTCCTGTCACAATAATTACACTGCCCTTAAAAACAGCACGTCATGTAGGTTATGATTTCCTTGGCTGAAGTTTAAGGCAATTGCATTTGGTGGTCTCCACCTAAAGGTGGCTTGCTTAAAACAACCAAGACAAAGTTTAGACATGATAATTTTTTTTCCAAATACCATTTTGTACGAAGGTTTCTCGCCACCGAGGAGTTTCATCGTTTGGATTGCCGTGCTGTAACAGCAGACTTGTCATGTTCTAGGTTCGCCGTGTGTCATTAACACAAAATTATTATCATATTAGTCATCGGGTGCTCTGAAGGGTTATAGGAAGTTGTGCTCTGTTTCACTTGCTTTTTCCTTTTTCTGGTATGAGCTGAATTATTGTTAGTCACTCCCCTTGTTTTTGCTAGCAAGGCTCACGTGGTTGCTTGTTTGAAAAGGTGGATCCTTTATTCTTTTAATTTTTTTCATCTGGACCTTTATTTTCACAATTCAGTAACCAGTGTTGCACACGTTTCTTTAAAACAGAAGCCAAAGCTTGTTACTGGTTTCTTCTCACTTTTGGGAAGAGTTCCCGTTAGAAGTTCCTTAAATGCAAAAAGAACTCGTTAGAATTCCACATAAAGAATTTTAACGTGTCGTCACACTTCTGATACATTTCAGTTTTTGACCCAAATATAGGGCTGGATAACCTCGAGGCCAAATAAACTAAAATTTAATGTTCGTTTGGCGTTACGCATACATATTGAGTTCAACATCGGCAGTGCCAGGTTATATGTATATAAGAGTGTAGGGAAACAATCATTGAACTTTTTAGAGGTCAGCAGCCGTGCTACTAATATCTGCAACCTTTGTGCTCGTATAATACTAATGAAAATCAAATGACACTTTCTACATCAGCCCTCCAATGCGCAATCAGACTGCTGCACTTCAGGTGCTAACGCAATAACATTGAATATCTTGTATCGGGGAAACTTTAGCGTCAGCGTTGGCGCTGCAGGTTGTGAGCGAAGAAATGGGGTAGTCTATAGGTGAACATTTGAGATAACCAAGGCTCAATAAATATTAAACAGCAGTACGAGTGCGTCCAACCCTAGCTTTTTATGACGAAGGCGTCTGGTGTTCTACCGAACAGTAACGCGATTGCTTGGAACTGTTTCGCTGAAAATTGTAGAGTTATCATAAATATACGAGTCTTAATAACGCATAGTGTGTTGCATGACAAGAGCACACCAGTAGCTCGAGGCATCACCACATCATAATTTCTAAATGAGTGCGTCTTTTGAAGGCCGACAATTACAAAGCGTTAAGACAAATCCAACACCTGCGTGGGTTCGCGTTTGCCTTGCCGACGCGTAGTGAACTATTCCCTAATTCGGAGAAAGAAAAATGACCTAGTTGGCACTTCGCAGCTGTACTTGCATTTCCAAAGAGTTTGACACGGTGAATATTACGCAGGCTATCATTCGTTTTCTTGCGGCATAGTTGACGCATCCACCGAAAACCTAAGTAACGATAGCAACTGATGGAGGCATTCGCATGAAATCGGTTGTGTTGGTGCGTACGATGTCTCATGCCACGGTAAACAGAAATAAAAATAAACATTCGTTTAAGAGCTCAAGATGTTGATGCCCACACGTATTACGCGAAGTAGTCTATTAGGTAATCTTTAGACACGATGATATATGATAAGTAGGGTTTTAACAACTCAAAACACCCTATGATTATGAGAGACGCCGTAGCGGAGGACTCCGGAAATTTCTACTTCTGGGGTTATTTAACGTGTCCCTAAATCTGAGCACACGGGCCTACAGCACTTTCGCCTCCATCGAAAATGCAGCCGCCACAGCCAGAACTCAATCCCATGACCTGCGGGTCAGCAGCCGAGTATCTTAGCCACTAGACCACCGCGGCCCCTAGACACCAGGACAGTCAATGTGTTCAGTAAGGTTAGCATATGCGCACAACTAATTAAAATGGAGAGGACATCGAAATGCCTCACAGCGATTGATTTAAGCATAAAAGCAATACTAATATTTCGACACAAGCCGCTACTCGCTTACTGCTTTGCATGAAAACGACTCCCACAAAATGTACTATATCGGCGTCAAATGGAACCCGAACAGCGGAGTGCGTGTATCAAGCATTAGAAACAGTATAGTGTTGGCGGTCCAGTCATCACCATTAAAAGGCGTGCACATCTAGCTTGGCAGCACGACGCGATCCCCTAGAGTGTGTTACCTCCGTTTTTACTCTAGTTTTCGTAAGGTGATAACGGTGGCCATTGTGAGCGTGCCAAGAGCTTTTGATCGTATCCCACGCAATTTCTTGCTTTTACTTCAGTGCCACAATGTAATCGGTATCTTGGCACAATAAAAATGAAATATGAGAAATATAATCGGTTTACGGTTGATTTTTAAACGATAGTCGTATCTCGTTCGCCAGCGCTGCTTCACCTGCACCTTTCTTTAAGACACCCACCCGAAAAAGGCTTCACTTTAACTGGAAATTCAGAGCATTTCTTCGGAGGCGAGAGCACAAGTTGTTTCGCATTAACGACATGAAGTGAAACAGCATGATATTGCCTGCATTATGAACCGACCTTTGTCTACTATAAACATAATTTGCCAGGCATTCCGTGATGTTGCACTGCTTGATGACAAAACATGCTACAATACTCACCTTCGGCAGCAGTAGCTTAACCTTTGAATTTTTTTGTTCCTTACAAATACCATATACCTGGAACACGAGCAGAAATATTGCACACTAGAGGGGCTGCGCAGTGCTGCCACACCGGATGTGCGGGCCTGTCCGTGTCAATACCTGGCGGATGGTGCGCAGTATGCCATTGATAAGGCTTGTGCCACGCACTCCGCTGTTCGCGTTTCATATGATGGCAATAGTACGGCATCTTTTTTTCCCCAAGTCAACGCCTTGAAGCAAGCGAAGCCATTCACCACACACATTCGAAGGCTTTCGCTGTTATGATAGCACTCTCACGAATGAGCAAAAGTCAGGTTCGCATAAAACAGAGTATATGAAAAAACATAAGTCAAGCGTCAACACATGAACGGAGCCCAACCGATCACACCTCAAAGAGTTACTTCATTTATTGCACAGTCGAGATGACAAGAAGCTGCTGAGGTGAAACGTCGATGTGTGATGACCATTACTGCCGGTATATAACAAACTGCAACTATTTCATTTCAAGAGGGTAAGTATAACAGAGAATATTTAACTGACTAACATTTTAGAAAAAATTTTGTTGTTGAACGTTAGCGCGCCTGTTGTAGCATCTTTCCTCGTCCTTTGCGTTAATTATTACCTAAAGTGTAACCAACCAACACGGTCATATCTCTCCCCCTATGCAGTCAATTTCTATTTTGTATCCCACTCTTAACGGCACAGTTTTAGTGAAAACCAAAGAAAATTACTTTGAATGAGAAAATACTTTAGGGAGTACAATGACGTGTTATTTATATAACTGTTATTGGTTTTTATGGAATAACAAGTGACCATCGGAGTCGCCGTTTAAATACCTGCATTATTACTAGCAACACGACGCATTGGAGGACTTTGCAACAAGTTTGAGCACCTGCTGTATTAACAACTATTTTGTGTAAACAACCAGCTTGACGTTCCACTTGTCAAATTAAACAAAAACGAATAAATTTTGTTGGAAGAGATAGCGTAAGACAGCGTTATCTGACGAATGCCAATTTTAAGAGAGGAGGTGAGGCATAAGGCAGTACATGGCCGAAACGAGGAAGTAAGCAGCACGTCGTTGCGGCGTCTTACGCAATAGGCCTGTGATCCCACAAGTTCTCGGGCAACGCCTTGCGCAATGACGTAATGCCTTGATTTTTGTGTACGACCAACTGTCTATGGACTCAATTTTCCTTGCTCCGTCATAATTCTAACAGCATCATTTGCTTGTTCTTACAAGCATGAGCTCAATCTATATACCTAGTCAGTAAATTCAAT